ACTTTATTGAAACCTGGTGTTAACGATCGTGAGCAGTCCGTAATATGTAAACCAATTATGAAACAATCTACTCTAACAATACAGAAAAATATGGATCAAGAATCAAGAAAGGAATTTATTCAAAACCAAGTTGATAAAACAGTGAATTCGGAAATTACGTCAAATACTTTATTGAAACCTGGTGTTAACGATCGTGAGCAGTCCGTAATATGTAAACCAATTATGAAACAATCTACTCTAACAATACAGAAAAATATGGATCAAGAATCAAGAAAGGAATTTATTCAAAACCAAGTTGATAAAACAGTGAATTCGGAAATTACTTCAAATACTTTATTGAAACCTGGTGTTAACGATCGTGAGCAGTCCGTAATATATAAACCAATTATGAAACAATCTACTCAAACAATACCGAAAAGTATGGATCCGCAAATGGCACAAATTCCTCTGATGAAACCCATTGTTGCTGATCGTTGTCGTTGCTCCGCAATACCAAAAATATTGATTGAACAGTATGCTCAAATAAGAAAGGGACTTATTGCAAACAAGGTTGATATTCCCAATATTTTATTGAATTGTCGTTCAATTTTAACCAATTTACAACCGGTCATTGGTAATCGTGAGCAATCCGTAATATGTAGACCAATAATGCAAAATTCAATTCAAATAAGAAAGGGAGCTGTTGATAAAATAGTGAATAGTGAGCGTGAGCGGTCTGTTATATGTGAACCAATAAAGAAACATCTTGTTCAAATAAAGAAGGAAGCTATTCTCACAAACCGTGAGCAGTCTGTAATACCGAAAAATATAATGAAACAGTATGCACAACAAAGGAAACGATTTATTGCGAATAATATTGAGAACACAGTTAAACTTCACGTGGAGGATGAAAAACCGTCGTGTTCAAAAGGAAATAGTAAAAGAAAGGGAGATATTCAAAGTGCAATTCCTCATCCAAATAAAAAAAGAGCAGTTACTGAAGATAATAAAGAAAACTTTAAGAAGTTAGAGAGACATCAAACGGATTCAGTTGCAAAAAGATTGCGTTCAAATTTTCAAAATATGGTTCCTGCTTCGAAATTGATGAAATCGAAACGAAGTAGACCGATAACGATGGATCCTGTACTAAAGGAAATTTCGAGGAAAGTCGCTGATGACAAATCTAATACAAAAGATCAAACAGATTCAGTTGCAAAAAGGTTGCGTTCAAATTTTAAAAATATGGTTACTGCTTCGAAATTGATGAAACCTGAAGAAGCTAAACCCATAACGAGGAAACCAGCTAATAAAAAATCTAATTTAAAGATATATCCTTGTCCAAGAGATTCTAAAAGAAGAGGGACTAAAAGACAGTTTAATAAATAATAACTGAACCAACTTTATTACTATACCACTATACATTTATAAAGATAATTTAAAGATAATTTAATTTAAAGATTAAATAATATTTTTCAAGAAGTTTGTTTAATTATATAAAAAATAACATAAGTTAAATTCAATGAAGTTATTTAAAGTTATTTAAATATAAAGCTGTATCTTTGATATTTAATTGCATGATTATGTTTTAAAATGATGGTTGTTGAATTCTTTCGAACATCAATAAATTAATCAACAAAAAAAAAAAATAAATTGGTACCATCTATTTGACATTATTATATGACAAGGAAATACAATTATGCAAATATGTATTCCCATATTATGTGCGAATATATGTGCGCTTCGAAAAGAGAATAATTTTCAAATAGTTTGTGAGCAATACTTTCGATCTACATAAACATCGAAATTGATCATCTTTAAGCCAAATACATATAAATTTACTAGTGAGAATATTATTCCAATACAGTTAGAAAAATTAGAAAATCAAATGATGCTGTTATGTCATGCTGTTATGTCAGATTAAATAGGGCATCTGTCAGCAAAAAATATTGAAGATATTAATGAATGGATGAATTCAAAGAGTTTTATTTGGTGGTCTGGAGGTGGAATGCACTATCAGACCTATCGTTGTCGGAGTTCCCGACTCCCTAACATTAACATAATATGTAGTATACGGAGCTAAACACCTTCTTTTCAGAAAGACTTATTCCTCTTCGAAACCTCCTCCTTCGAGGAGGGTCTTTTTTATGTTGGCAAGCCATGTTCCTGTAATTTTCGATTTGTGTGCAGACTTCCATTTCTAAACATAGGATATAAAATTCCTGTAAAAAAATTACAGATATACTTATTTTTATTTTTATTTTTTATTTATTTATTTTATTTATTTTTTTTATTAAAAAAAATCTTATTTGAATTTTAAGCCATTTTTTATCTTTATTTTATACTTAAATATATATTGCAACTATTTTCGTTCACATTAAAGTAATATTTAATAAATATACTTAAACTTTATAACATAATTAAAACTACCATAGAGTAAAAAACTTACATCATTTATTATTTCTATTGCTTCTGTTGCTGTTATTAGAATTAACAAATTTAAACATAATAGATTTTTACAAAACACAAAAGCAGTGACTATTAATAATATAGTTCTATATGCACATTTTAGTTTCTACAAATTTTTTACAAATTTAGATTTTGAAAATTTTTTTAATTAGTAAGCAAAATTATGTTTTATTGGTTTTAGGTTTTAAGACTAGTTCTAATAGATCTGTCAATAAGTCTGGTAATTTATTTAGTTTAGATTTAATTATAAAAGAAAGATATAAAAAAAAGTGCTCAGGTTATATATATAAGCATTTTTAGAACATTAAGAACAATAATAGTGTGCATATATAGTTGATATTAGATAGGTAATATATATAGATATATATTGTATTCAGATAAGTTAAGATGTTTCAAGTGCAGGGGTTTACGATTTGTGTTTTTCTTTTGATAATACATTCTTAATATATTCAATCAGTTCGAAAAGACACAGTGACTACCAATTTTACACCTAATATTTAATATTTATTTTAGTTCTCATAGTTCCATAGCTATATCCGAGCAAATGATATGACACCATCAATTTTTTACGGCTCTTGGGTCACATTAGATTCATTTACATCTTTTCTGTATTCCTATTGTGACATTAGGTTTGTTAAGTTCTGAGAAGCGGCTGAATTAGAAAATTTACATATATTGCTCTAAGATCTATAGTTATACGAAAAAAATGAGAGAATACATTTTAAATCATATCATCAAAAGCAGTAAGAAGACATTCATGAAATATATGAGTGTTTCAATTACAATTTATAGCAGCTCTATATTATTTGTTTGAGTAATAAATAATACTGAATTTACGTTTTGTAAATTATTATTATTTTTATTAATATCTTTTATTAATTTATTGTTTTTTTGGCATTCACCTTATTTAATTTAATGTCTAAAAATATTTTGTTCATGGTTTAACATTTTTTTTTTTTTGATAAAAAGGGATTCATATATTGTATAAAATTATGTTTTTGTTAGTGTGTAAAAATGATATAAATATTATATTAATTGCTTTAAAAAATATATAAAATATCTAATCGATATAAATACACAGTATGTTTTCTGGAAACATCCCGTAAAGTTCGCAAATGATTTCATTTTCCAATAAACCATGATATCTATATCATATGATCATATATTTTAATTTAATTTAGAAATATATATATATGAAGAAAAAAATCATACGAGTCTATATAGACATCCATAGATATAATAGAGATTCTATAGCCCAAATAGAACAAAGTTTTTATTTTAACAAAGTTCTCTATAATTCTATGTACTTTTAGATTCATCTCAAATTATTCAAAAATTTATTTTATTTCACTAAATTTTCATTTATTTTTATTTTATGAAATTTATATAATTAGATTTATAATATAATTACAATATTTATATATAAATTGTGCAAAAGCAATAGTTTTTTTTTTGAGTACGCAAAGTTTTGGTGTTTAATGTTAACTGATTTATATTTTAATGCAATTATTTTTTTCATTTAGTTTACTAAATTGTCTAATTTTATAAACTAATACTTATTTACATTTGCTAATGTTAAATTAAAAATAATATAAATTATTTATTGCACTTTTATTACAATTAAACTATATAACCTCTATAATTTTATTCGTTTGATTTTTACGGATTTATTCGCTCTTGATTCCGACTCGATGACTGAGAAGATCTTCTATTGATCGATTCCAAATATGCCGCTGGGGTCCAACCTTCTGTATTAGAATCTATAATATATGATTATGATTAATTTTTTTAAATTTGATTAAAATTTTAAATTAAAATGAATTAATTTATTTTAATTTATTTATTATTATATTTTAAAATACAGCTTCATGTACCAGTTAGCAAACAGGACTTAGGTAAATATTTTAATTATAGGTTTGTTTCTTGAAAATCAATTATTAGCTATATACAATATACTAATAATATATCAAAGTACGATTTTATATTTTTGACTCAAAATTGTTTATTGGGACCTTTTTTCAGTATTTTTTATTGGATATAAAAATTAAAAATTATAAATCATAAAAAATTCTATTGGAATTATTTTTTACTATTAGATATTAATTTTATATTTTTATATATACTTTATATACATAATATATCTATATAGATATATATATATAGATATCTTATATTTTTTAACACAATTTGTCCCAATTACAATATACAATATAAAATTTGTCCCAATATAATTTAAAATAAAAAATAAAGATTTATAATAAACAAAATATATATAACTACACACATTTTTAAAGATAATTCTTTATTACCTATAACACGCACAAACCACCAACCAGCACAGCCCACCTTAAGCAGCTCAATAATCTCGCCTTCGCGCATTGAGACTTCAGAGTGTCCCACTGCGACATAATCTGCGAGGGCTATAAATTTACTGCCCTATAATTCATTTTATTAAGCGTAAGCGTGAAATATTAAAAATTTTGTTAGTAAAGCATTGGGATTTATTTATAATTTTTTTTGTTATGTTTTGGTAATAAATTAATAACTAAAAGCATCAGTGATTGTGAATTTCAAGCATTTGAAAACATTTTCTAAATTCAAATTTTTCAACTTAAATTTAATTAAAAATATTTAAAAAATAAATAAATTAATTATAAATCAACTTAAAATTAATAACACATAATTTTCATTAATTAGTTTGCAACTTTATATGAGGTGCTACTATCTTAAATAGTGCATTAATAGAAGCAAATGTTTTATGTGAAATTTATATTAAAATAATACTATTTTTTTAAATTAACTATTTTTATATATGCTATTAAACATTAACAATTTATAATTTTACAAAGTCCGCTACATTAAAATTGGTATTTTGTATTTTTTTTAAACATAAAATAATTAGTTTTAAGTAAATCAAATTCATTTTATTATAGCAATAATGATGACAAAATCCTTTTACATAATTATTTAGGCATTTACTTGACTTTTTGCGACGAGAGTATTATACTTCCAATATTGTTTCTTCTTCATTCTATATCTTTTGAAGATAGCTTTAATTCTTAAATCATGTTAAAATCTTGAGTTTGAGGATATAGCAATTTTTTGTTTAAAGCTTTCAGATTTTTACCTTATTTGGTGTATATATATTAAAAAGTTTTGATTCTTACATTCTTTTAAGGTAGTTCAAATTGCCTATTGAAGTGGTGTGAATATATATACAGAATGTTCTACATATTCCTATAGGTGACATAAATGTTAGAGGTAAACTTTTGGTGTAAGAAATTAATAACATTTATACAAGAGGGTTTATTTTTAACATTAATCGCGATACAAAATATCAAAAGATGTTATGCTATGCTAAATAATAATCACAATCCCAAAAATAGTTTATTCTTAATTAAACTTTTAAGTGTTCTTTTTCCTGTGAGGTCATTAGAATCCTATTGACTAAGGAAACCCTAGTACTAACAACAATTTTGCGCGAAAAAAAGATATAAAACTTCATAAATTCATAAATGACAAATTTGGCAATATAAATTTTTCTTTTATATGGAAACTTATCAATTTTGTTATTTGATGTTTGTACTAGGCTGAAGAAACCAAAAAAACCAGATATATTTCGGGTTTAAACTGGTAACTGGTATTTGTAAATTATTGCATCTCTGATGTGGTAAAGATAGCGAAGGCAGACTTCTCAAATTTCTTACCGGTCTTTATTTAAAAGCAACAGCATCAGTGTATCATAATTGGCAGCAGATGTCTCCAAGTGGAGGTGTTGATATTGTGGATAGTGGTGAGAAGTGGGTAAGAGAAAATATCTAGAGAAAAGCCAATGTATGAACTACAAACACCCATAATTTTTATTATCTCGATAATGAAATTAATTTTGTACAGAAAAATATATAAATAAAATATTGAGTCGGAATTCAGTAAATTTTTACTCAATGCTGAGGTAATTTTCGCATTGAAAGTGGATATAGTCTTAAAGTGGATGTATACATATATACATTATTGCACTAATTTATGCAAGTTCAAACATGTTTCTAAATCTTAAATTTTTCAATGTTTGTTATATATGTATTATACGTAAAAAGGATGTTTAATATACGGTTGTCCACTCCATAAAACACGACGAAATATCCCAGATTTAAAAATGTTTCTATTGGCACTGATATTACAATTTATCAAAATAATTTCTATTTTTATTTCTGCTTATCATCGATAAGATAAAGTATCGACGATAAAGGCTGAAAATTTAATTGTAAAATCGCATCGGATCGCCTTAAATGCCAGAAGCATTTATTTTTTGCAAAAGCTAAAAACTGTTTAATCGTCAAAATTTTAGATATACCTAACACGAATCTAAAATCTCATTTAGTTTAATATTTAAATAATTTTCTTCATTGTTCAATTTATTTTCTTTTTATTTTTTTTTTTGATGTGTATGACAATTTGTAGAGTATATTATTTTATATATATTGACGTAGTTTATTTTTTATTTAAAGGGAATAGATTTTTCCTTTTATTTGTAACTAAAACGTAATACATTATATTATAATTTTTTTATTTAATGAATCTTTTTTTATTACAAAAAAACAAAAATAAAAACAAAAAAAAAACAATTTTAATATTTTTTAATATTCGCAATTAATTTAATAGATTATTTTATAGACTTGTTTACATAATAATAATTTAAAATATTTTTGATTTATATTTTTTATTTTCTATAAATAATTAAATTAACGTATTTTGATAATTTCAATAATTTGTACTTTAATATATAACAATATTTATTGCAACTTTTTTTTTTGGTAAATATACAGAAAGAATATATACAAAAATGCAATTATATCGTAACTTAATAATACTATTACAAAAAGAAAAGCTTATATATAAGCTATATACAAAAGTATATAATGATATATATAACTAATCAGTGCTTAACCGAAACGTAAAATTTAGAGTTTGATTTGCTATTTCGTGGATATGAAGAAGCATCGTGATTATAAGTAGCCCATTGTGCCAAAAAATTCATAAATTTCTATTACATATAAATTACATACATACATACATACATAAAAACGGTGGAGGCAATTAATGAGATATACGATACAGTTTGGATAGGTGCGTTTAAGTAATCCGGTAGGATGAGTTTGTAATACCACCATTTTGGAATATGTGATAGTCAAAGATGAGACCATTTGAAGTAATTTTGCACAATGTTTAACATTTTGTTGTAGGTTTAAATTTTATTTTTAAATTTTTATTATATATTTAATTTATATTTATTATTATTTGTATTTATTACATTTTTTTTAAAGAAATTATTTGTGTTTTTTTTGTGCATGAAAGTAAAAAAAAGAAACCCAAAATATTATATAAGATAAATTATATAAATAATATTTGATGAATATAAAATATATAATGAAATTAAGATAAGAATAAAACCGTTAAAAACAATAGAAAAAGAGAAAATAAAAATATGAAAGACAAAAGCAATAAAAATAAATGAAACTGAATAAAGCACAAATAAAAATTTAAAATTTTCTTTAACAAAAAAAAAAACCCAAACCAAAAAACAATAACTTATAATAATAATAAATTAAAAAATAAAACTAAAAAGTTTATTTCTATAAATTTTTATTCATTTTTTTTTATTCAACTTTTCTTTTTTCAATAATTTAAACTATACATATTCGATTTTTTTCTGTACAAGTTTTGTAATTAATTACTTACCGGTGTGCTATTATCTTCAATAATGGACATCTCATCTTCACTATTTGAATAATCGGAACTCCAACCGCACGCCTCTTGTTGTTCTTTTTCTGTAGAATTGTTTGACAAATTACTACTGGTTACTCCAGATATGGGGCAATTATCGTCACTACTGCAGTTTGAATTCCGATTCGAAGATTCTGAAGATGCATCACAACTTATCGTACGTTGTGGTGTACCCAGTATTATGTTTGGTGTATCCCAAGAAGTGGTCTGTTTTAAGCCACGATGATTTAAGCCATATTGCTTAATTTTTTCTCCTTTCAATTCTTCCAGCTGATTGAGCAGTACGCGTTTTATTTCTGTCACCCATTTATTTTTAATTTCTATAGTAGGTGCCTGTAGAGTGTGTACTTCCTGTCTACCCTGTAGCCATACTTCAAAACGCTTAGTGTCGCCACGTACGGATTCAGTGAGACCAATTTGAGACATCTGTAAAAATTGACCCAATGAATTTATAATATATAAAATTATACGATTGTTGCGAGATATATAGCGAATAAAAATTTATACTGTTATGATACTGAGGAGAGTTCTACTGACTTTAGCAAGCTTAAATTTACTTTGAAAGGTCATTATTTTTAAACCTCATGGTCACAACTGACATTTAGATAGGTTAGGATAGGTGAGTCTGTGACAGATTTAATGTGGATTACTTATGAGCCAATTGGTTTTCTGATTAGATAATTAATAAATAATTAAATTGTATTTGTCGAAGTTGCTTGATAGCATGGTTGTAATTTGAACAGGTTTAAATTCTGACAATTGTAGTTCAAAAACTATATACGGACTATTAACATTTCAAATATATTCAAATACCACTGATGATGAATATTTGACTATATTCGAAATGGTTGTATGGTTGTCCAAAAATTCCTTCAATAAAAAAAAATTTTGTATTTAATCATAATTTTCCTCACCACAAAAACTTCTTTATAATGAAAATAAATAATTTAGTCATTTTGACATCAAATCACTTATATTACACTTTACCTTTAAATAATGTTTAAACTGATACGTGCTCTTATTGTGACCAGGTTTAGATGTCTGCTTACAGAAAAGCATAGATTTTTGGTATAAAAATATGTGTCTCTGTTGTGGTTTTATACGTAAACGTATATCTTTTTTTGACTCGGTCCAAACTTGAAAAGAATCTTGTAGCAGAAGTTCTCCTTGTAATGTAAGATCGTTCTGTTAAAGGTGAGAAAAATTAAAAAAATTATTTTAAAATCAAAATCAATACATATATTTTTTATTAAACAAACTTACTGGAAATCCAGTTATTGCTACTTGATGCATTGAATCGTTGACACATTTCAGTACAATTAACATGCAATCCAAAGCTTTTTGTAATTCCTTCGTACAGCTGCCACTATCACTAAATCGTAGCAGATCTTTAAGTAACAACTGATATTTGGTTATCCTTTGAACAGGTTTCAATAGGTAAGCTGCTAGAGGTAACTTGTGTCCTAAACGTTTTTGACATTCTTGTAGAAAGAGATGTGTATCCACAAGAGTTTCACGTAAACGTTCGGAACGTGGTATATTTTGGCAGTAAAACGAATACAAGCGATAAAAAGTATCACGCTAAGATAAATGAAATTAGATATTGTATTAAATATATATTCCATGCTATTGTAATTATCAGTTACTTACTCTTTGTACAAAGCAAAGTGCAACTAGTTCGGTGGTAGATATACAGTTCTCCAAATCTTGTAAGAAGACTTCGTTATGAAATGTGTACAACTCATGTAAATTACCGAAAAGTATATCTTCTTTGCCTTGTAAAGTAGTGGGTACAAGATGCATCATTTCTTTGGATTGCATTTGGTCGCAATAACCCTAAAAGAGAAAATTTCATATATGAAAATTTTGCATAAAACCTTTATGTTGTAAAATATAATTAAGTAAATATTTATATTATTTTTTCTAATTATTTTTATCTAAATGACAGATAAATATATAGATAATTAACAATTTTATATTGCAATATTATACAACATATTTGTTAGTGTTCTGCATATACATTTATCGAAGAATTGTCATGAAGACATGATTTTCGACATATTAACTCAATTATAGTATGTTCTGCATTTATATACTATTCTTCATTTTAGAAATTAGATGATACATTAATCATATTGACAAAATGTGTTTGTTGAATCATTATTGCAGACCTTGATATTTTAACAATGGGTGTTTTTCATCATTGAACTCTGTGTTATTAAAAGCAAAGGTTGCTAAAGATTGCCTACCAGTTTTAAACGATATCAGCACTGGGGTTAAAGTACATGTAATATGGCCTCGAGGCAAAATGGTATTGAGGAAAAGTACAGCGCTGATGAAGTCATCAGATGGACTACTAATCTTCCCCTGGCATACACAGAAGCGATATGGAAGTACCTGCAGCGATTTGTAAATAGAGAAATAACGTCATTCGGAAGAACAACTCGTCCTGCCCAAACGCAGACAGTTATGTGACGTTTTAGGCATGTTGACAAAATTTGATGGGAAATATTAAAGGGTTTCACTCAGCTTGTCAAAAGAGTGCACATCTAAGGCTGTGGTTTGTGTAACCGGTCTCTGTTTATTTGGTAGGTATATTCTTAGGCTTTATGTTTCTAAGAATGTATGTTATAGAAGTGCTAACGATGAGGAGGAAAAAGCTGCTGTGGCCTAGCTCTATCCTGAAGTAAATTAATTTTTTAGAAAGTAAAGTTTTTAGCTGTTTCACAGAAATGTTCTGCGCTTAGATAAAAATTTTCTGCGATTTATTATGTCGCCGAAATAATTTTATAATCAACTAATAGATCCCGTCAGTAGTAGTATATTACTTAGTATAGTCTAAGTAAGTTGGTCATTTAGACTAACTGCTTCAATAACTTTACTAAATCTAGTTTTTCAAAAAAATCTGATGCAAAAGAAGACACAAAAATCAAAATAAAAAGCTTAGTTAGATAATATGGGATGAAAAGAGTTCAGGTGTATGTTCAAGAGGTTATGTCTATAAAAAGAAACCATGAACGCTGTGTTATAAATTGTGTGCATCCTGACATCTGGAGAATTTAACACAAGAAGTAAATGTAAAAGAAATAATTAAAATAAAAATAATAGTTAGACAATATGGGATCAACAAAGTCCAGCTCTATGTACAAGTGGTTTTTAATGTCCATAAATGGAAATCGTAGATCGAATATTGCAATTCTGCTTGTCCTTTGGCACAGAACCATTGCAAGAAAAAAATAGTTATTGTTAACACAATAATCTTCTTTTGAATAAATTCTAATAGAAATTAGCCTTTTAAAGTGGCTTTTCGACTATTTACACTGATTTCTTTTAAATTTAACACATATGTATTTAATTTAATTTGTAATTTATAATAATAATTTAATATGTAATTTAACTTAATTTACAGCTCCACATGTAACGGAATATTTTATTCTACATATAATGTAAAATCACTTAAAATATTTTAATTAAAAATTAGTTTATAATTACACAAGAAATTTCATTATAAATATCAGTTCCACTTCCACTTCCATTATTGCTGTCATTTTTCTTAAGTCTGCAATTACACTCCATGCTTGTATTTTCACAGTAAGCAGATAAATCGTTGCTTATGAACTGTCCAAATTTATCCTCCACATAGGAATCAGTATCAACATATCCTTGTGCTGTTACAAAGTCCTTTAGTATACGTTCATATTTCTGAACTTTAAACTTACTAAAAGGAATTTTCGGCAATGAGAAAGAATTTTCTTTAGAACTTTCTTCAAAGAACTCATAACAGTATTTCAGTGTTTCGCGATAGGACTGTGTAAAAAAATTTAATTTTGGCTTGTGTTCCATATTAACTGAGTCGGGAGAAGCATTTGATAATTTATTCCAATCTTGTATAGGTAATTTTAAATTATTTCTAAGAGCAGTAGAACGGCAACTGTTACAGATGTGACTATAAATTTCTGGCGATACTTCTGAAAATCGCAGTCTTTTAGGGGTGGCCAGCATTTTTGTGCGGTTCAAGGAATTCTTGCTCAATGCCGAACTAGCGCGAATAACAGACGATGAAATTGAGGTTAAACTTTTTGGTTCTGTCTCTTCAAGGTATGCTAAAATGTCTGTATAATTTTTACGTGCTAGATAAGCCTTAAACTCGGTGTCGTTCTCAATTTCCGAATAGCTGTTATATTCCAAGTAATCATTAACCAAACGATATTCCAAAGATTCATTACAACTCGATAGTTCTATTAGTTCTTTGAAAATACTTTTACGTTCGTCCTTAAGCCGTTGTAAACTATCTTTTGCTGATGTTATGCTTTCCAGTGAATTACATTCTTCGATCTCTTGAAATGTATCCATAATTTTAATAGTTGATTTACCATTCAACATGTTACGCGTCGCAAAGTTATAAATATTTGTGCCGAACACATAATCGCTTTGACCATTTGAAGAGTCTTTCAAATCGGCGCGAAAATCATTGGGTGTGAAGCAAGCATTGTTTTTGTTTTTTACACCATTTCTAGATTGTTGATCGAATAGTGAGCCTTGAAAGGATAAAGGCGATTCACACGCTGTATTGCGGTGTTGAAAATTTAAACGTTTGATAGAATCACTAATTTTAACATTGAATTTTCCTATGAGATTCGCGGTAGTATTTTGTAATTTCTTGCGACGAAAGGAACCCGAGGAAACCGATTGCGACTTTGAGGCTTTGCGTAAATCATAGCCTCCGTAACGCATATTGACACTTTAAACTATAAATTTTATAACTTTTCAATAATTATTAGAGAAGTAATTTTTTGTTGTATCAGCCACAGCAACTAAACGAGAAATGTTTTTAATTTCCACTTATGGAAGCGATTTAACCAAGTAAAGAGTTTATTATATCAAAATTAAAACTGAAAATTACTTGGCACTTTATTAGAAAATAAATGATGAGGTTTAATGCACTAATTGTTGCAGAAACGTAGGCATTCAAGTGTTTCCAACTACTTACCCACTGCACCTAACAATTGAATATATTTGATGCCTTTATATTTTTTTCCGAAAAAAATGCACGTTATCTTGATTATGTAGTTTGGCAGCGATTACAAATTTTAGATCTGCAGTATTACCGTTTCACCATTCTGTTTGATATATGAAATACAAGAATACCAAAGTTTACTGACCATTCTCATATGATTTGAAAATATTTTTCATATTTACTTCATGCTTCATGGTCATGGCTATTCTACACTTCCTACTCATTCATTTTACATTTTAATTATGGTTCGCCCCTATTCTATGCCGTTCATTTGAACTCTTTACTCAATCATTGGGAATTGCTAATTATATAAAGTGAACCCCACTAGGCTTAGTTGAGTTACAATATAGTTTTTTTTCATGTTTTTATATTTACTTTAAATATTATTCCATTTGATTTGGATTAATAATTGTGTTAACAAGTGGAGAGTGTTCTGTTCTATTAATACTTTTTTTTATATTTTCAAAATATATGCACATAAGCTTTACACGGGTTTCAAGTAATGGGTAGATATAACTAGTTCTAAGACTAGTTAAAGTAGATCATAACCCAACTTAAACAGACGTAGAGAAATGATAGAAACTTTTTGATACCTCTGGTAAATTTTTGAACTGGTGTTTTTGAAATTTTTAATATATATAAGTCTCTCTTATAACCTCAATACTAATAAATTTAATAATGCTCTTTACTTATTGTTAAAGACATTTTCAACATTTTATTATTAATACCCTACATATGTTATATGAATTATTGTATAATGTTCGATAGTTCTCGATCTGAAGTGCGCCGATCTTAGTTCTATAAGAAGAATTGCCGCGTCTACATACCAATCATATATTGGTTAATAAGAATTATGATGTTTTAATCGACATTACAACATAGGTATAATCAATTTCGGAAAAGAAAAACAATAATGCAACAACAAAATATATATTAGCTATTTGTTATATGTTTCTCGTCTAGTTTAGATCTGATCGATCTTGAAATTGCTAACTAATAAACTAAAAAGGTTTAATTAAAAAAGTAAATGTGATTAAATTAAGCAAGTTAAATACTTTATGTTGAAGAACTTATAATATTTATATGAGCCACCGATATTTGAAAAGAACACTCACTGCGTTCTTCAGTTTTATTTATAACTATAATGTCTATAACAGTGTTTCTTAAGATGCAACAAATAGCGGACCGAAAAATATGAAATATATTTTATAAGAACCGGAAAATATATTCTCAAAAAAATAATATTCGTAAATACGAAAATACAATATATAACGAATCGATGGAGCTATATGTGCGATCTCTATGATAGTGGTCCGGGGACCGGCGGGTCAGAAACTTTTTCTGTAAACATGTCTATGATTATTTATGTGTTCATAATTTTAAATTATTGTGATATTTTACCCGATTTTGGCACTATAGATGTTAAGAAAAGGTATTTGTAGATAGTGGAGAAATACAAATAGTGGAGAAATGCATATAAACGGTATGCACACTTTTTTCGAGTTTGGTCGGATAATATAAGAACAAAAGACAACTTATAAAATTTTAAATTGAATCTAGAAATTTAGCCAAGAAAACAAATCACGGCTTTGTCGTTCTCAGTTCAAAAAGACTTAAAGATAGACTTAAAGTATGATTATTTTATTAAACTTAGTACGATTCTTAGACCAAATTAAAGTAAGATGTACCTATATTACGTATTTAGTATATGATGATTTATTTAGTATATTGTATCATTGTAATAATTTATTAAAAAATATTTCTTAATAAGAATGTAATTATATAATATATACAATTAGTTTAAATTTACCTTAAGTATTGAACTCATTTCACTGACGTAGATTCTTTCTGTTTCTAAAAGTTCGGTGAGTACATGACCACGTTTAAGGCGACGTGCTTCCGTATCCTAAAAAATAAAAATTAAAACAAGTTAGTCAGATATTAAGTAACTAAAATTAAAATAAAAATATATTTTATTTCCATATATTATATATAACAAATGCATTATAAAATATAACCACTCCCAGTGAATGAACCAAAGCTAGTTTAGGTGGCAGATGACAGACTCGTTCGATAAATGCAATAATGCAGATTATGTTGATTATATGCAAGAGCAATTTGCAGTCCACCTTGTTATTAAGTAAGCTGCAATTTCGCACCAATGTCAATGAACAACTTTCATCTACCAGGATGAACTGGTTGCGAACAGATTTGCGGATTAGAAAAACGTTTATAAAAACATTACTTTAAAAATAAATATTTTTCGTTATTTCCAAAAAATAAATAAATAAATAAAAAATAGTCGTTGGTGGACATAATAAATCAGTTTACGCTTTTAAAAATTGGCAGGAAATAGTTTGTGATAAGAGGAGTGCATAAAATTAACGTACGTGTATGCATGATTTTGCGACAAAAAAAAAAATATATTAAGTATATAACAAATTTAAAAGGTGGATATAGGAAGTTTATTAGGCATAATAAGTTATTTAAGATGCAAATTAGAGCAACTTCCCTGTTTCCGGTAAATATTTTTTTTCGCAAAGATATATAATATATATATTTCTTTTTTAATTGAGTTGTATAATGAGACATATATAGTAATTTAAGATGAATTTACTATTGGGTCTAAAAGTTGGCATCGCTGTCGTATTCTACTCTTGTCATATATAGAATATACATAGAAGTATTAGAGGTTTCTTGAAGATTGTAATAGACTTTAAAACATTGAAACTTGAACATAGGTATTTAAGTAGTTTTATCTGAACCAAGGTAAATCACTTGATGTTACTATTTGTACTATATTATTTATTCAAAATGTTTCACTTTTTGTGGCCCTCCTTAGCAAATGTCAGGAACCTCTTAGTTCATACGACTTAATTGATAACGAAAGAAATTATATAAAGAATGTAATGAAAATTTAGTATTTTAATTTTTTTGAATTCCCGCGCTTATCCAATCGGTAAATTTTTTTATTTTCACGCTGGCAACACTATTATACACATTCTGTCAAAGTTTAACGCATATCGTAAGATTAGTTTTTGTTTGGCGTCTATATAAAGAAGTCGAAAAATTTTCGTGTGGCGATTGGTTGTTGTGAGTTGGATGGGCATGTCAAATTTATAGACCCTCGTTCTTTTTTGATCGCAAGGTATATATATATAAACATATATATATAAATTGGTGTTTGAGATCAAAATAAAAACATTATATTATGTCTTTTAAGATTTATTCATGTTTAAAATATCGGTACTAAATGTATTTTTACGAAAGTTCGCAAAGCAGTAAAATTGATTCTAATATATGATTTCATAATTGAATGATTAATAAATGCTTTTGTTTACAAAAAAATTGAACAGCATATTAACTAATCTTGCGAAGATTAAACGAAAGATAAATATCTCTAAAATTAAAACAAATTGAGGGAACCGTAGAGCTTATAGGTGATGCCGGTACTAACATCAAAGGGAGCAAGATAAAACTAATTTTAATATAGAGTTTAGACTATTATTTCATTAAATTACAGATTTTGAATATTTTTTTAAGAAGAGTAAGGATTTTAATTTAAGTTGATAAATTCCTCTTATACTGCTTAAAATAATAGCGAATAACAGCTGAGTGTGAATTCTATATAAAATAGTTTTTACGGTTGCTTAAATTTGATCATTGATTGACTCAGCATGGACAGATTGAACTGTTGTAAATTGTGAAATTTGTAATTTATATAAAAAGATTTACTGTAAATGGTAATATATTTTTGTTTTGTTTATTTTTACAAAAATTAGAATAAGGCAATAAAACGCTTACTTTGCTTACTTGCAAAGTAAGCAACGGGATCCTTGCATGTAAGCCTCTTTCCTTCTGTGGAAGAGGTAACACTTCGCTACTTATTAGAGTAGAAAAAGACAACAAATTAGGTAGATCATAGTGGAACAACATACCAGGTTTACATTCTAAATCACTTATAGGGACCTACAACTTAAACAATTAGAGAATTAAACAGGAATTGCAACAGGACACTGTGAGTTGCACAACTATCTAAATAAACTGAGATTTATTTCCGATGGAACCTGCAGGTTTGTAAGGAGAAGAAAGAGATCGGGTGGTATGTGCTTAGGAACTGTTCTGCACTAGTGTATAAAGGAAAGAAACTCTTAGATAGATACACAATATTTCAAGATGAAGTATTACTTCGGAGCACAGAAAAATATTATTGTATTAAAAATATAATATTATATATAATAATGTTATATATATTATAAAATGTAACTCAAGAGATAGGACATTTTGAGTTATTGTCAGTGCAAGTAGCGGGTACTTTAGATCTAAAAGGCACCATACCATATTCACATTGTATAATAATAGCGGGAACATAAAATCTGATTTAATCATTTACAACTCAAACAAGGCGCACACCCAATTACTTATTGAAATTTAAGCAAATTAGATTTGCTAAAGATTAAGAGGTTTTTGTACCTTTGCATTCCTTTATTACTTGAAAGATTCATTAAACTTAAACTTATTAATAACATTTTTTAAACATTTGTTAACATTAAAGTGCTATGAATTTTATGTTGGGATCGTAGCTAAATAAAATGTATAACATTTTAATGATAAATCTCCGTTACTTCTTCAACTAAACACATTACTCTATGGGCCATAATTTGCCCATCGCTGACGTGGTTATCTGTACGTTCATCTACGCGTAACAGCATAAAATTGTACATAAATTTTTATTACAATTTACTGAAAAACTGTTTTGATTATATATCTTTTTTGCACTTGACTTGATATGTAATGTATCTTTGATTGATTTTAAATGAAACGTTTTTTGTTTTACTTTAGTTTTTATCTTTGATTTTTATTGATCGTTCCAATTCGTTTGGAAAAAAGTAAATAAAACGCAATGTTTTTATAGTTTCAACTGAGTTTCGAATAAATAAAAATAAAGTTAAGAAAAAATGCAATTATGGATGAGTTTACCTGTTGATTTTGCATGTGCTCACTGTTATCTGGACTGGAGCCAGTAGTATCACCATTTAATGAAACTCCAGAGTCAACCACGCCATCCATTGATCTCGGTCGCAATTCATGTATAACATCAGTCTAAAAAGAAATGAGAAAAAAAGTGATAAAAGTATTTAAATACACTATGTGGTAAGTTTATAACAGAATAAGAAATGTTTTTTATTTCGATTCTCTTGACTTTTCTATTGGCGAAATTTATTGCGTTTTTAACGTCAGTTTAAAATTTTAATATCTGAAAAAACTTTTCAATCAAATTGTATATTTTAAGCATCAAAAACCTTTAAATCATAAGAAATATTTTTTCATTGTCTATTCTAAATCTATTTTCTGGCACTTCTCTTCTTCTTGTATCTAAATTGTCTAAATTGTGTTTATGAAAGAAGTTTAGCTAACGGTCGGCACAAATCCGCTCGATAGTTAATTTATTTTAATACAAATTTTTATATTATTTGTGGATAGTCAAAGCGTAAACAGAGTAGAGAGGAAGCTTCAATGCTGTATATAAACAAAATAAAATCGTTGGTAATTACAAGAAAATTTCTAAGTCTTCAACATAATTTATATTTAAATACGAAAAGCGGTTCTTTTTTGTATTTGTTTTGCTATTGTAGTTTTGGTAAGTTTTGGTAAGTTTTGTTAAGTTTTCTACGTTTTGTATTTAGTGCTTCTGTATTTGAACTTAACTAAGTTAGTACCACTTTCGCTTCTACCAAACGCCACACATGTCTCAAAACAAAACATTAAACAATCTTCATGGCCAAATAAAAGTTATTCATTCGTACGCCAGCATTTTGCGGTTGGCTCTGTTGATGATAGACAAGTATCTTAAAGTATCTTAAAGATACTTGTAGTCGTACACGCTTTCTTTGTACGAGCAGTGTTAATGTGCGTTAATCGCTTTTGTGATTTAGAAAATGTAATTTTTCTAACTTCTTTTTATTTTTTTTTCTCCTTTTTATTTGTTTGTTGCTGGTTTTTATAGCATAAAGTGCTGAAGAAAATTCTTCACTTTTAAGTAAAAGTAATGAATGACATTAGGAAATGCTCCAGAGACAAGTACTAGCAAATTTCAGTTAATTTCAGTTACTCAGAAAAGGTTTATTGTGCTTTAAAGTTTATGTAATTTATTTAATCTGTTAAATCGTTTAAGAGTTAAGTAAATCATTTAATAATAATAAATCTAAACTGCAGAAATTATTATTAATTGGATATGTCGTATATTAGAAAAACTTGCATTGGATTATGTACGTTTTTTTTTTCATTTCAAGATGAATAGGAAGTACTTTAATTTGTATTACGAAAGTACTTACAATTTCCGTTAAGTTTTTTGAAAAATGGTTATAATAAATTTAATAATTCATTTCTAGTTGAGTATAGTACATCCCACTGTTATGTAAGATGATATCGAGTTTTAAAGACAATTAAATTATAACATATATAAATTACAAAATAATTTTAGTAAGAATTTTTAGTGTGACAAACGCTTCATTGGAAGGAATTTCAGCAGCACCAAAATAATGTAATATACATATTTGGATAAAACTTTATCTTTGTTGAGGATTAAGTCCTTTTTAAACCCCCGAGGTATTTTTGGTTACAGTACTCATTTGAAAATATGCAACTAAACATTGAGTGAAAATAGATGTGTTAACTTTAACCACCACGACACTTCTTTATGTAGCCAATCCAGTGCCCACGCAACCGTGATACAACATATCACGTTGAAAGTAAAAAACAGACTTGTTATCAGTTTTACTCCAAAATAATTTAACGTGAGAGGTATGTCTTACTTTGGGCAAATACTAATCCCTATTCCGAAGGGGGGAATAGTGTCCAGTATTTAAAACAGTTCTTAAGGCACAGTTAAATGCCATTAAAGATGTAATACTCATTTTTTCAATCGATCGGTATATCACCCAACAGAGACCATATGTAGTCAAGGAGTAACCCAAGGATCACTTGGGTTACAACTCTTTATGATTGACAAAGTTCTTAAACTTCTTATAACCTATGTTAGTTAAAGAAAAATTTGACTCAATAATAATTAAATGGATGAGCCTTTAACAAATAGTCTAATGGAAAAGGGTTTTGAAAATCACATGTTAATTATACATGTACACAATTTAATTGTCCACGACTTTATGGTAAATCCTGGAAAATAGTCCCAAATTAAAACGTTAGAAAATGATAACAATCAAATCATTGAATAAAATGCATGATAACAACTGTCGGGATCACCCCATACCTTTAAGTCGCAAACTGAACCTTTGAGTTCTCTTGCCAACAGTTTTAAAAAAATTTCCGAATGAGATTTTAAAAATCCGTCATTAAATATTTCGGATTATACTTGCGGGGCTTCATGGTTAATTCTTGTGATATAACCACAAAATAACACGCTAGTTAAGAATTTATTCCCAAACTATGAATAATATTAAGCTACGATAAAACTAATTATTTCACTTCTATTGTGAATAAGATCCTACTTCATTCTTAGAGGGTAATTGAGAAATAAAACCCTCTATCGACAAATAACAGGTGGCTTAATATACAAATTGTGCTGTATATTTTGCAAAAACTTGGACAGTAATCAACAATGATTAGGGTATTAGGAGTATTCGATAAAAACTGTTTTTGGAAGATCCATGGTTTCGTACTTGTTGGTGCCCAATAACATGTTGACAGAACTATTTGTTCCATGAGGAATATCGCGACATCGATAAATGATAGTTAGGCGTAATGATTCAGTTACTTCTTTGCCTTGATCATGTCGTATCATTCATGAATAGATGAAAAGCATCTTACTAGAAAGATGTTTCATTAGGTACTCTCCGGTGGAAAACTTAAACGAGAAAATCAAAAAAAAACATTGTTGGTGGTAGGCTCAAGCAGTCAATGACATGAAGACATTTGATATTATGAACTGAGCACAGCAAGCCACTAAGAGGGTTGGTGGGAGAAGGCAGCTAAGTACTTACTTAACTTAAATCTGTAAAGCCCATCTAAGAAAGGACTATTAAAACATATGAGAGTATCTCTCACAGGATGAAATAAAAATGTGTGGTGTTGTAGTTCAGCACTATGTACACCACTGCCATTAAAAATTTATTTGGTATTTATACTCCAAAAAGTTCAATTTAATTCTTTTTGCACTTCTCAATATTTAAATATCTGTATACTCTTTACAAAGTATATATCTATATATAACATCTGGTTTATGTGTTTTAGTTCATTCATGAAGAATTGGGTCTCTTTTCTGACTTAAATTGACAATTTCTGTTTCACTTCAAGGTATGGGAAAAAATTAATTCTTTCAATTGTTGAATGTATTGGATTTTAGTCGTTGACATTTTTCCATTAGATACTCGTATTTCTTTTATAAGCTTTTTAATGTTTTGTCGGTGGTAATAACTAAATTACCTCAATTCTAAAGCCGTTTGTTCCAATTGCAATTGTTGTGCTGGCTTTTATTTGCTTTTTAAATTAAGTTTATTGTTGTTTTTTTTAAATTGAAAATTAACACCGTTCCTCAGCACTTTTTTTGTGAGTAAAATATGCCGGTAACAAACAAGATACAAATATACTTCATAGTTGCTTGATGTGAGAACTGTTTTTGGCATATCAAATTAGTAGACAAAAAGTAATATGTGTTTAGTTACTCATAATAGCTCCACATTTTGCAAGTTTGGAACTATTATAATAGAAATCGACCGGAAGGCTTAAATAAAGGGGTACTGAACAACAATTAAGGGGGCATATTTTAGACCACAAGTGTAAACAAACATTGGTGTTTACTCATGTGTTCGGCTGTACTTATATCTCCACACTTGGTCATTTGTTTTCATTGCTGATTTATTTCGTTTTGTTTTGTTTTGGTATGTAAACAAGTATTATTTCTTCTAGCCCCTGCCTGCTTTTTCGGTTTCTGTATTGTTGGGTTTCTTTGAGATTTTGCATTTGCGGTGCCAATTCAGCGAAGCGTTACAACTTTTTTTTTTATGGAATTTGTCATTTCGTTTTGTAAACATTTTAATTAAAGATTAAAAACAAAAGTAATCAGCTTAATTAATTTAAATTACTTTGACATTTTTCTTCAGGTGAAAATGAAATGAAATTTGACCCACTAATTTTCAGTTTTGGTCACACTTGTAGTTTTGACATTTGTTATGATGTTGACGTTAAGTTGGGTTCAGTACAATTCAGCAGCTTCAAGACACTAAGCCGTCAACCATTTCTTGGCCCTGTAATGAAATGGAAATTTTAATGTAATATTATTTTTCTTGATGCAGCCGGACTACGGATAATAAACACAATTGGGCAATCAGAAACACTTTCGCAGAAGTTGTCATTATTAGCTTAAGCCACTAGCGGCGCTGAGTTGATGTGATCGTCTTCTCATCGTTGTAATGTAATGGTTGCATTGTTTTAGTTGCTCGGAGAAATGGTGCGGTGCTGAGATTGCTTAGAAAAAATGTATCTCGAATAAGAAAATTTTACTTTTACGATTGTAATTTATACCATTTATAACTTAAATTACTAACAATAGTAATTTCTTTAAAAAGCCCTAACTAATAATAATTAATCATAGTTAAATTTAGTCAAAGAAATTTTTATTTCAAAATTTTCTATAATTTAGATACATAAAGTGTTTAGTATTCCATTGTAGAAAGTTTTCTGTAAGAGTTTTCTCATTAAGAGTTCAAGGATAAAACTGAACGTTAAGGTTTTTGCATAAAACTATAAATTATGGTTTGCATAAAACTGTAGCTCTTTCAGTGTTTTGTTGATTACCGATAACTGCTAGTGTTAAATCTTATAAGAAAACAAGATTTTAAGTGAAAAAAATTTACTTTAGTATTATTTTAAACCCCTTTTGGGAGATCATGGTAGCTACCTTGTTTTGAACCTCAACTTTTTCCAACTTACGAACTAACTATAGTTAAATAAGAACTCGTGTCTGAGCCTAGCTCACTGGACCTCAAATTTCTTTGCTAGCTTTGTGAAGAAATAATTTAAGAAATATTCATTTAATGTTATAGTTAAGTATAGAATAATAATTTATTGAAAGGTTTTTAAA